AGGGTGTCCTCCATGTGTTTGAAGATCTCGTCAGGTCGGCCCATGGACAGCATAGCCCTCCACGTGTCCTCGCTCTCATTCAACGAAGCCTCTACCGCCGAAAGAAACTCACCCCTCCGATGTCCTTTTCTTAGGCACCTCATCATATCATCGAGATTCCAGCGCGTTCTTGTCTCCGTCGAGTTTGCTTCCCGTTCCAGCGGCTGCATACCCTGCAACTCGACATACAAGGGGACGTGGTCCCGTGGTGGTGGCCCTCGATAGGCCTGTAATTCTGCACCCAATCCAAATAACGGGGAACATCTTGAAACCATATCAATCATTCCAGTCGGGAGGAAACGATAATCTAAACAACTGCTTACACCCTTCGCGCCGTACCATGTGTGCTCCAACTTGTTCTTCATCGTATTCATCGCGAACATGTGCTGTCGTTGATTGATGAGCCTGAATACTTCACCAGCTCCTCCTCTGCGTTGTTCTCTGCACCTTCCTTCGCCCACCGCCGTCGACTCGATACTCGTCCACTTGCCCGATATTCGTGAGATCCCCTGGCCGTCGTTGAGGTCTACGTACACCAGCGGTATGCATCGACACGGTAGGCTCTGAAGTATGTTTTCGTACCATGATCCAATCAGCTTCACCGTGGCCATATACTGGGGCTGTTCCGCGGGTATGGCCCTCTTCCGCTCACCTGCAGCGGGCGGGGGGGAAGCGCGCCCCGCTGCGCCCCAACACGGTGCCGGGGGGCCCGCGAGCAGCGGGTTGGGCCAGCGAACCGCTCACACCGCTCCCCCCCGCCGCGGGGCACCTAGGGGGCTCCCGCAGCCAGTGATGCCGAGGAGCCCGCGGGGTGCAGCGTGGGCCACGGCCGCGCACGCGGCCCTTCGCCCACTGGGAGGGGGGCGGGCGCCATCGGCTCGCGCGGCCGTTGGCGCCCGGGGCCTGCGGCCGCTCTTGGACCGCGCGCCGCCGCGGCGGCCCCGCCGACGCGGCCCCGCCGACACGCTGTGCCCTGGGAGTGGATGGCGTGTCGCTCCCAGACCCGCTCGCGTTGCGACAAAAATCGCAACGGGAGGCCTTTCGGTATGTTCGGCCTCCGGGGGCCCTCGCCGGGCCTCGGGACCGTCCAGAGACGGCTCAGGATGAAAGACCAGTCCGAAGAATGGGTCCAGACCTCTGGGGGTCGACGTCAGGACAAAATCACGACGTCGGGGGTCTGGGCTCCGCTCCGCGGGGCGGGAGGCGCGGAAAGGCTGCGGACGTTGACGCCCGGGGGTCGGGGAGTGGACAGCGTGCTGCGCCAAGGCGTGGCGGGCCGGAGCTGGCGGAGCGACAGACTATGCAGAAGTGAGGTTCCCGACCGTACAGGCCCACGGATGCAACAGAGGGACTCGAACTCAACGGGGGCCTTACGAGCCACAAAATGCATTGAGGGCCATGTCAGGTCGCAAGGTTCACTCGGGGTCACACAACTCACGGATGTGAACGAGCTTCGCGTAAGGTTCGTAAGTGACGCAGTAGTCATAAGATGGCCACAAGGGTCACGATGGTCACAAGGCGGGCACAAATATCAAAGAGGCAACACACAATGCAATGAACACATTTATTCCCACCAGCCGTCTGGGCAGAAGTGGTATAACGAGACCTGCTTCCATCTTCTTGAACTCTTTCTATCCCTATTCAAGGACGTGGCTGATCATTTATCCTAATTGACATACGCTCCCTCGCCTAATCTACTGCCCCCCAACCAGAGCCAATGATGTCCCCCACCATCCTGTCAGGAACGCAGTACAGCATGCATTATGCGGCAACCATCCGGATCATGTTCGGGCGCCCCAGGATCACGTTACCTGCTGTTTGACAGGGACGGTGAGGGTGTTATCATAATGACCCACGTGTGCAGACCCACCACCCCTGTGGAAAAAAACGCATACGAAGTGCACGTCGCGGCAAAATCTTGGACCACGCATTTGCGCTCCACGATCATCTTGCAGTGTTATCGGGCAATGATGATGGGAGTGCCCTGACACGCACCTCGCGGGCGTCGCGCAACTGCCTAGCATCAGCATTGGTTCCCGATGGCTGTCGATAGCGGCCCCTGCCCATGCTGAGACTCGGGTGCTACGTATGTGTTGGGAGGGCGGGTGGGAGTGAACGAGGCGCTTGCGTCTTGTGGGTAGCTTGATCACAGTTCCTAATGCATATGCACCCCCTCCCCCACCCGACCGGGGGAGAACCCGGAACCGTAACTCCCCCCACAACCCTTTCCAAAAGACAATACGTGACGCACTCTGCGGCAAACTCTGGATCATGCGCGGGCGCCCCGTGGGTACGTTGCATTGCTTTTGATAGAGATGAGAAGGGGGGCGGCATATTGCCTGCTGCGCGCAGGCCTGGTACCCGTCAAAAACGCATGCGAAATACTCTTTGCCGCCAGTTCTTGATCATGCTCGGGCGCCCCACGCTCACTTCGCCCTGTTATCTGACATGGGATGACGGGGCTGCCCTGGCGCGCGCGGCGCACCTCGTGGGAGTCGCGCACCTGTCTGGCGTTTGCATTGGTTCCCGCTGGCTGTCGATAGCGGTCCCTGCCCATGCTGAGCCTTGGGTGTTATTTATGTGTTGGGAGGGCGGGTGGGCGTGCACGGTTTCCCCTGGGGCCGTAGGCGACCCGAGGAGGAGGAGGAGGAGGAGGAGGAGGAGGAGGAGGAGGAGGAGGAGGAGGAGGAGGAGGAGGAGGAGGAGGTGGGGGAGGAGGAGGAGGAGGAGGAGGAGGGAGGAGGAGGAGGAGAGAGAGGAGGAGAGGAGGAGGAGGAGGAGGAGAGGAGGAGGAGTGGAGGGGAGGAGGAGATGGAGGAGGAGGAGGAGGAGGAGGAGAGGAGGAGGAGGAGGAGGAGGAGGAGGAGGAGGAGGAGGGGGGAGGAGGAGGAGGAGGAGGAAGACGGGTCGCCTAAGCCCTTCGGAAAACCCTCCAGGTGGGAGTGATCGAGAGGGCCGTCCTTCGGGAGGGGTAGATGGACCCTCGCCCTCCCCCCTTCCTGGGGTTCGGGGAGGGGGGGGGGAGAGGATGAGCAGGAAGAGAAAAAGGACGAAAAAGGAGAAAAACGAGGACGAACAGCTGCAACAATGGGTTCAAGGAGTGGGAGGATGAACGGCAGGACCAGGGGAAGGCTGAGGAGGGGAAGAAATGAGGGGGGCGAGCACGATGAGAACGGATTCTCGGATGCAGAAAAGTGGCCCGCGCTGGGGCGAGAGTGCCGCTCTGAGCGACGGGAACAAAGCGCCGATCCGGAAATGAGGCCCACGCAGCAACGGGAACCCCATTTCGAAACACCGAAAGCGATCGGACTCACAAAACCTATCTGGGAAACTTTTTTTTACGCCGCAGCGCGGCAAACTCAGTCCGCACGCGCGTCCAAGCAACCCGGGCCACGGCATTGCGAGTTGTCCCACGTGCAAGAGGAGGGGACAAGAAGAGGGCTGGCCGCAGAAGGCAGGAGGAGGGGGGGAACGCGCACTCACGCGGCGAGGCCGCAGCGGGGCGCGCGGGGCGGCCGAACCGGTATAGCAGCCCCTGGCAGCGGGCGCGGGGCGGCGTCACGAGCGCACCCAGGGGGTGGGTCCAGCGGCTGCAGTGCGGGGCGAGGCCCAGCAGGTGGAAGGGAGGGCGCCAGAGCGGCAGCGACCACGGCATCCCCAGTCACTTCCGCCACCTCTCGCCGCCCTTCCGCCAACTTCGGCCCGCGGAGGCGGCCTCGATTTACGTGCGCCGCCTTCCGCCGAGGAAGCGAATGCCAACTTCTTCGGTCCTCGAAAACGAGGTCCTTTCTGGAGCGCCCCATCTGGTGTACTTGCTGAAAAAGGTCCTGTTCGGCCGGCGAATGCTCCACCATGCTCTCACGTAGCTCAAGATGGCTTCCAAGGTGGGTGGCGAAATATCAAGTAATCTGGCTTCGGTTCGTCTGCAGCATGCGTCGAAGGGGCTCCAAGACGGCCGTACGACCGCTCCATGCCGTCTGAAGCCTCCATGCCGTCCCCAAACCGAAGATGGGAATCAATGATGTTGCAATTCTCGCCTTTTCGCCTCCAGTGGGCCTCAGCAGCCTCAAGATGGCGGCCCCAGGATGGCCACCGAGAATCCTGGTCCAAGATGTCCCGAAGACCGCCCAAGAGGTCCCTAAAAGAGGCCCCCGATAGCGCTGCAGTAGGCATCAAAGAAGCAATGTGTCGGCTTCCGAAGGGGGGGGGGAGCGCATTGCCCCCCCCCCCCCCCCCCCCCCCCCCCCCCCCCCCCTCCCCCGCCCTTTTCGAGCTATGGGGCCCAAGATCGCCCCAACGCCCTCCCAACGAAGCCCCAAGAGGGCTCTGAGACAGTCCCAAGAGGACCCCAAAAGGGAGCCAAGTGTACCGCAATACAGCCCTAATAGTCCTTCACGAGGCTCCCACAACAAAAGATCCGCGAAGTCTTCGTCCTCCTCTTCTCCTCTTCCTCCTCCTCCTCCTCCTCCTCCTCATCGTTCTCCTCTCCTCCTCCTCCTCCTCCTCCTCCTCGTCGTTCTCCTCCTCCTCTTCCTCCTCCTCCTCCTCCTCCTCCTCCACCTCCCCTCCTTCGACCTCGTCATCCGAGCAATTCTTATGGGCATCGTTTCTGGACGGGCTGGTGGCGACACGCGAAGCGTCAAGACTTTGTGCTCGCCCTGGCATGGAAGCGGGGCCCGAGGTTCCCAGGGCCGCAGGGTCCGAGGCCGCAAGAAATTCCAAGGGCAACATTTGTCACAAGGGGGCGGTGCCGCATGTTGCTGCCCTGATCGCTGCGCTGGCCCTGCCGTGCCGTGGGGCGATGCCGACGTCGTCGACGACCAAGCGACAGGCAACGTCGACGGCGGCCACGACGACGGCCGCGACGACGGCCGCGACGACGGCCGCGACGCCAGCGACGACTGCGACGACGGCACCGCCGCCGACGACGGCCAGGACCGCGGCGACGGCGGCGGGCACTCCTCGCTGGAGGAGATCCGGCGCTCCAGCGCCGCTCCGCGCTCCCGGGCCTCCTCGTCTCTGGAGCCGTCCCGTGCCTGCAGGCCCCGCAGCTCCGCGGCGAGGCGCTCGTCGAGCGCGGCCACCTGGGCGGCCAGGCGCTCCTGGAGCCCCTTCAGCGCCTGGGCCTGCTGCGGCTCCCGCTCGCTGGCGGCCGCCCGCTCGCTCTGCAGCTCCCGCTGCAGCGCCGAGAGCCGGCTGCCCCAGTCCTGCTGCTCCCGCTGCATCGCGGAGAGGCGGCTCTCCAGCTCCTGCCTCTCGCACTTGAGCGTCAGGAACCTGCCGTCGAGGTCCTGCTGCAGCCGCTCCACCGCGGACTGGCCGCTGCTGTGGCCCTCTCGCTCGAGCGCGAGTGCCGCGACCTTGCCCTCCAGCTCCTCGGAGCGGCGGCGCATCTCCGACACCTGCTGCCCAAGCGCGCGCTCGGCCAGGTGCCGCTCCGCGAAGGCCTCTCGCATCGCCTCCACTCGCCCGCCCAGCTCGGCCACCGTGGCCGTGCTCGCTCCGCCGGAGTGGCCGGTCGTCGGCGTGATCGCAGACAGGTCCTGGACGCTCCTTCGGAGCTCCAGCAGCTGCTTCTCCAACCTCTCCTCTTTCGCGCACCTCTCCTCGTGGGGGCGCACTGACCAAGGTTGCTGCAGACCCGGGTCGGCCAGGGTCCTGCAGCGAAGCCCAGCCGGCCGCTCAGTAGCTCGCTCCCAAACGGGGGTCAGCAGAGGGCGGAGAAGGGGAATCGGCCCCAAGTGGCTCCCAAACCCGGGTCGACTAGAGGGAATTGGTCGACCCCTGTTAGCGCTGACCCCCGTTTCGAGTAGGGGACCGACTACAGAATTGATTTACCCCTCAATTGAGTTTTTCGTCGAGTCTATGGGAAAGTACGTAGAAGCTCCCCAGATCCACGAACATCTACGTCTTTGTTTTGCAGGCTCGGCGAGCAAGTCCGTTGTGGGGTACATCAGCTCTGTACTCGATCCCCCACTCGACCGCGACGTGAGCCCCGATCCTCCATCTTCTCCCCGAGGCCAGCGACGCGCCCCGAGAGGTCCGCCACGTCCGCGGGGAGGCCGAGGCCCGGATTCACGGACGGCTTCCTCGACATCGTCGGCGCCATGGCGAGGTCGTCCGCGTGCCTCGCCTCGCAGGGCGCCAACGGTACACCCACGCCGATCCTGGCCAGGCTCATCCTGGGCCCAAGATCGGTGCATACGCCCTCCTGGTTCAGGCAGGAAGGCACACGCACGGATCCTGCATCCCTCCGCGGAGCTTCAAGCAGGTTTTGCCCGCGCAGCGTCGGCCCCCCCAGACCCACCACCCACTTCTTCAATGTTGCTGCCTAGAAGAAGAAAAACGCCGTGAACATAAGTTTTTGGCGCTCCGCACGGATTCCTTGGATCCGCACTGGACACCCCTCCCTGGCGCGCGGAGCGCGCCTGGGGCGGTGCCGGAGGCGCCGCCAGAGGGGACCCAGCGCGGATCCAAGAAACCCACGTGGAGCGCCAAACAATTTTGTTGATGCAGTTTTTTCTCCTTCGAGTGCCGAGACAACTGACTTTATAGTGTTCGTCGGCATCGGCAGACCGCGCCGCGTGCGCCACCGAACGCTGACAACCCTGGGGGGTTGGAGGGATGCGGGCCTGGGCTCGGCCTGGGCAGGAGCGGTGTGGGTTGAAGGCGGCTGGGGGGTCTGAACTGGTTGGGGCCCCAGAGAATCGGTCAGAAGTCAGAGGAGGGAAAGGTACCCCTACTGCTACCCTTCTCTCGTTTTCTCTTTTTCGGGCCTCCTGGGAGGCCCTTGTCGCCACCGCTGGATTCGCCTCGAAATGCTGGTCAGAACGCGCTCCAGGAGAGGTCCAGGGAGTAGCGGTATCGGTACCATTTGGTGTCCCCAAGAAGGGGGAAATAAGGCCAAATCATTTCAAAATCAGCTCCCAGACCACTACTGAAGTCCATCTGGTGCAATTGTTTACCCCCGATCCGCTTTTGCCGGTCCCGGGGGCCCGAAAATGCACCCCCGGGCCGAAGAAGGCAAACAAACTTTCCGAACCCAGAACGTCGAATCTGCCCGCCCTTTCTGCTGGCCGGAACCGGTGCTGGGCCACCTCAGACCCCCAGCCGGCTCCAAGGTGTAGGTGTATAGCTCGAGGGGAGGATCTACTACTGAATTAATTTATCCCCAGAACTGATTGGCTCGCAGAGCCTACAAAACAAGTGCGTGTAATGCTCGTAGATCTACGGACCTTCTACGCACTTAGAAAAAACAGCGGTATGAGCATAAACCTTTGGCGCTCCGCGCGGATTTCTTGGATCTGCGGCGCTGGGTCTCCCCCCTGGCGCGCGGAGCGCGCCAGGGGCGGCGCAAGAGGCGCCGCCCAGGCGTTCCAGCGCAGACCCAAGAAATCCGCGCGGAGCGCCAAACCTTCCTCGAGAAAATCAGTACTTCCTCGAGAAAATCAGTCCTTCCTCGAGAAAATCTGATGGCGCCTTTCCTTGCTCGAGAAAATCAGTCCTGGGGTAAATCGAAACTCTGCAGCCGATCCCTGCTCGAGGTGTTGGTGCCCTCCGATCGCCAGCACCGCCTCCAGCGCCGCGGTGGTCTCGGAGCGCAGGCGCCCCTCGAGCGCCGCGAGGTCCTGGGCGGAGGGGGTCGCGCCGGCCTGCTGCTCGCGCAGGCCGCGCAGCTCCTCGCGGTGCTCCCGGACGGCCTCCTCCAGGCGCGCCAGGGCCGCGTCGTCCTGAGGGGCATCACGTCAGGGGAAGGGGGGATCTCGAACCTCGAAGCCTCGGCGCCCCGAAGTTTCGAGGCTCGGGTTTTTTGGGCGTTCTCGGTGCTTCTCGGCGGCTCTCCAGCCTCGGGGTGCCTTCCAACGGCTGCGCCTCGCCGGAGGCGTTCCGGGGATGCCCGGATCGCCCCGAACGCCCGCCAGAGGCCCGAGTAACGTCCCGAAGACCACCAGGGGACCAGTTCAGGGGGGGAAACATCGACCTGGAATCGGCGATGCATCGCCGATACATGGGCGATCGGCCCCTGGTAGCAAATCTCCACGCTCCTGGGCGGGTTGGGCTCGTTCCCCTATCGGCGATCAGTGGGCGATTGGGGGTCGATTCGGCGGCCAGGGGGGGGGGCGGGAACTGGGAGTGGGCGGCCCTTCTCAAAGGCTCGGCAGTCTCCCCGCCTTCAGAAAACACGCCTTCCCCGAATACACAGACAACTTTTCAGAAGACTGGAGGGCTGTTTGAGAAGCCGTGCCGCCTTCTGAGAATTAGATGCTCATTCTGGGGACCTTCCTGGAACCACTCGCTCTACTCGTGCGTCGAAGCTGCGTCGAACGTCCGTCGACTGGAGTCGAACTTGAGTCGAATCCGAGTCGAACCTGAGTCGAACCTGTGTCGAACCTGAGTCAAAATGATGTCGAATTGGAGTCGAACTAGAGTCGAACAGATCCGTTAGGTCGGCCCCAGGAGGGTCCCCCAAGCGAGCATCTAATGAGAAGGCTTCCTCCTTCTCACTTCCCCCCGCCTCGCCCGTGGCCGGTCGATGCATCCCCCCTGGAGCCTACCCCCCCCCTAACGTCGCCCCTGCCGTCCGAGGAGGGCGTCCCCTGCGCCGTCCCCGGCGGGGTCGCGGCCGGCCGCGGGGGCTCCTGCAGCGCCCTCGCAGGAGGACCACAAACCGGGCTGGCCATCGAGCTGCATCGAATCGGCAGGGCTCGGCAAGCAGATCGCAGGGCGCCAGGATCGACGTCCGCCGGCCCAGGCCTCGGAATACAGAGTCGAATCGGTTCGAAATCGGAATGCTCGAAATCGAGTCGACGTTCGCTGGCCCAAGCCTCGTAATCCAGAGTCGAATCGAGTCGAACTCGGAATGCTCGAAAACGGATCGATTCGGATCGACGGAGTTGAAGCGACTCCTGCCTCGTGGCCGCGCGCACCTCGGCCACCTGGGCCCGCAGCTCGTTCAGCTGCGCGTCCAGCCTCGCCTCCAGGAGCATGACCTGGTGAGAGGAGGAGGAGGAGGAGGAGGAGGAGGAGGAGGAGGAGGAGGAGGAGGAGGAGGAGGAGGAGGAGGAGGAGGAGGAGGAGGAGAGGAGGAGGAGGGGAGGAGGAGGAGGAGGAGGAGGAGGAGTAGGAGGATGAGGAGGATGAGGAGGATGAGGAGGATGTGGAGGATGAGGATGAGGATGAGGAGGAGGAGGAGAAAGAGGCGGAGGAGGAGGCGGAGGAGGAGGAAGAGGAGGAAGAGAGGAGGAGGAGGAGGAGGAGGAGGAGGAGGAGGAGGCGGGGGAGAAGGTGGGAAGGAGGAAGAGGAGGCGAAGGAGGATGAGGAGGCGGAGGAGGAGGATGAAGATGAGGAGGAGGAGGATGAGGAGGAGGAGGCGGAGGAGGAGGAGGATGAGGAGGCGGAGGAGGAGGAGGAGGAGGAGGAGGAGGAGGAGGAGGAGGAGGAGGAGGAGGAGGAGGAAGATGATGCTGCTTTGCCTTGGAAGTTTTCGCATCGCAGCTCGGGCCACGAGTGGTCCGGCGGGGGCGGTCCATCGTGCTGCCATAGGGAGCGCTGACTCGGGAACGACGGAGCTGTTCTGACAACGGCTAGCCCGGACCTCTGGATGATCTTCAGAACAGCGCCCTGAACGCGTGCGGGAAAAAAACACACACCAAAAAACACACACGTGGGAAACAAACACACACAGTGTTTTGTGTGTGTGTGTGTGTGTGTGTTTTTCCCACAATGTGTTTTTTTTCCCACAGCCCAAGGTGGCCCTCATCTCGGCGCCGAGGATGTCGGGGTGAGGGGGGTGGGCTGGCGGAGAGGGGGGGGGGGGGACATTGCCTTGGAATTGGCGATCCATCGCCGACAGGTCGGCGAGGCGGCCCCCCCAGGGGGAGGCCGCACGCCCCCGGGCTGCGAGAGGGGGCCCAGGCCCCGAGCGGCGGCGAGGGGGCGATCGGGGGGGGGGGGGGGGGACGGCGCCCCGCACCCTTGGACTCCCCCCCGCTGCCTGCCGCTGGGGGGGGACCAGTGCTCCGCACCCTTGGGCCCCCCCCCCCCTCCCGCTCCCTGTCGCTGCTCGGGCGCTGCTGGGGAACCGACGGGCACCGAGCGGGCCGTGGCGAGGAGGGCCTCGCAGGAGCCTCCCCAGCAGGGGGAGAACACGAGGGGAGAGCGGCGGCACCAGTGCCGGGCCTTTCCTCCACTGGGTTGCTCGATGGAGGGGGGGTCCATCAACGGGGGGTGACGACGTGTGCACCTGCCGTGCAGCGTCGGGGCCCCACGGGGGAGGGTTCCTCGCGGCGCCGTGCAGCTTCGATTTCGATCCCTCCCCCAGTGCACCGCCCTCCCCCGTCCCCCGTCACTAGAGGCCTCCTAGCTGGGGTCGGAGCACATGGGGTCGGAGGATCGCGCCGCATCCCCTCGGCGATGCATCGTTGATGCATCGGCGACGTCTGATGCATCGGCGACGTCGGCGTGGATGACATCGGGCTCCGTATCGAGCCGCATCGCCGATGCATCGGTGATGCGTCACGCTCCTCCGACCCTATCGGCTCAGACCCCCTCTGGGAGGGGGAGGCTCCGACAAAACGCGACCGCGCCCGTGGGCGCGGACCACACCTCCCGCAGCCCCACCAGTTCCTGCCGCAGCACGGCTCTCTGGTATGCCAATCACTCGGGCGTGATCGGCAGCATCGATTTGCAGTCTCGAGGGACCTGAGCTCGGTCTACTACTCGAGCTGTCCTGGAAGGCCTAATATCACGTTGCAGCTACACGTCGGTCGGAAGGAGTAGATAACAGCATGGAACAGGAAGGCGGATCAAGTAGATTGGGCTCAGGCCCTCCCGAAGAATAACAAATCACGGCACACACCCATCGATTCTCTTGAAGCAGGAAGGCGCTTGAGGTAGGTTGGCTTCCGGGGACCCAGAAACGCCTACTTCCAACGACGGACGGGCACTCTTCTGCAGATCGCATCGTGATTAAGCTTGATCTCGGGATTTAGAGAGCAGCCACCTCCGCCCGCCACGCGCCCTCTGCTCCGCCGCCGCGGCCCGCCGTGCTGCTGCAGCCCGCCTCGGAGGAGGAGAAGGAGGAGGAGAAACAGGAGGAGGAGGTGGAGGAGGAGGAGGAGGAGGAGGAGGAGGAGAAGGAGGAGGAG